TACGGTAGGTAGTAGTACGTAGTACGTAGTACGTAGTAGAGTACGACGAGAGAGACGAGAGAGAGAGAGAGAGAGAGAGAGAGAGAGAGAGAGAGAGAGAGAGAGAGAGAGAGAGAGAGAGTATTTGCATGAATTCTCTGGTTTCATGTTTTATGCCAATTTTCTAGAGAGAGAGTATTTGAATGAATTCTCTGGTTTCATGTTTTATGCCAATTTTCTCCATTGCTGTGACAATCCTCTACTGTTACATGTTCACTCGAATGTCTAGAACTTTTAATTCTTAAGTCTTCTATCTTATCTTTTCTCTGTCAGGATATTGAGGACTACTTAAAAGGATGCAGGTTTCTCCCAAAGCTCAACAATGAGATTCCCAATGAGAGAAACTCTACCTACAAAGAGAGATTTAGTAGTTTGCAGAATTTAGTTCTTATCATGGTAAGCAAGTAGTGTTTCCTTGATATTATGAATTCTAAGGATCAATTGGATATCTTAGTGTGAGTGAGTGTGTGTGTGAGAGAGAAAGAGTGATGTTTGGTGATTGTTTCCACAGTTTGAGCACGATACCGTATTGATACCGAAAGAAACCTCCTGGTTTGGATACTATCCTGATGGTTCCTTCAGAACAATTTTGGCACCTCAAGAGGTGATCTCTCTCTCTCTCTCTGAGAGTCGTACTGTTGAGGGTTCCCTTATCTCATATATTTGTCTTATGATTCTTGTAAAAATTTAATCTTCATGATTGATGTGCTCAAATGTTTAATGTTTTTAAAAACCTTAAAAAAGTATCATGATATTTTAAAAGAAAGAATTTTGCTTGATATAATGAGACTTGTATCCTTATCCCATTCTCATTTTCTTCATTCCAAGTTTTATATGTAACTATATTATAAGTTCAATAGAAAACTATCAGTATAAAGGGTAAGAATTTAACAAAAAGAACGAAAAAAAGTTAAATGAAGATTCCTTTCTCTTATATCTTTTGTTGAAAGGGAAATATGTTTTGAATTTCTGTTCGAATATTTTCCTTCTCATTTCCTTTAAGCTTTTCCCAAGAATTTCCAATAGACAAATTTGAAAATCACCCCAATAAGATAATTTGGAGATCAACATACCTTGTCTCTTGGCTTCCTCTCACTTCCCCCTCTCTCTCTCTCTCTCTCTCTCTCTCTCTCTCTCTCTCTCTCTCTACTACGTACGTACGTACGTACTTACTTTACTTTACGTTACTTACGTTACTTCTACTTACTTACTTACTTAACTTAACTTAACTTACTTACT